TACGTTCGCGTCACCCGAGACGCACTCAATGGTGTACGGGAAGGTCGACATCACCAGCGATCATCGCTGCAGCTTGTCGGCCTGGTACTTGGCCATATTGGCGTTCGAGCCACTTGGGTTGAAGATGTACACCGGGTTGCAGTGGTCCTTAAACAGACGGAAACCACCCGGGCGTACGACCAGGTAGTCGAGTCTCTTGCACGACTCGACCACGGCATAGGCCTCCTACTCCACGATGGGCCAGCGCGCACTCGTGCCAGAAAACGACCCATTGATGAACGCAAGCGGCTGGTGCCGCTGGCTTCGAGAGGCAAATCCAGGTCCGCTGGCGGTACTTGTGCGGCGACCGCACCCCAAAACAGGTCACTGGCGTCCGTGAAGACGCAGACCGTCATGTCTTTTCGCGGGTGCGACAGGGGCACCACATGCGCCAACGGGTGTTTCATCTCGTTGAAACACTTAAGATGATCGGATGACCATCCCACGGCAGGGAGTGCAACACGCACTAACGTCGTTTTCTTGCAGCTTCCGGCTGCCTTGGTGGCCACGTCGAGCAGACGTCGCAACGGATCCACCAGCTGATTGTAGCCGGGGATGCTCGCACGCATCCAGTTGGTGGCACACACAAACTGTTGGAGGTCGGCCGCAGTCTTCGGCGGCGACAAATCCACAAGTCCTTGAATTTGGCTTGGAGAATGGGTGATTCCATCGGCCGAAATCTCCTTGCCACACCATTCTGCCTCGCGCAGAAATATATGACACTTCTTCGGGCTCAACTTGAGTCTGAACTGGGCACAGATGGACAGGACTTGGTCCAACAAGTCGAGCAGCTCGTCCGTCGTATTGGCGGACCCCAGCAAGTCATCGAGCCAGGCCAACAGGCCTCGAAACAGCAGCTCACCAAACATTTGGTGGACAACCGACTGACAGTATGCGACAGCGTCCGTCTGTCCCATGAGCACGCGGGTTGGGGTGTACACGCCGAAGGGCGTCATGAACGAGAAGTACATCTGGCTGTCCGCATGCAGCGGCAACTGCCAGTACCCCTTGGTCCAGTCCAACGGGAAGTACACGTTCGCTCCGACCAGACAGACCATCGCGCTGTCCAGGTTTGGCATCGGCCAAGGCATCGGCTCCGTGCAGGCATTGATCGGCCTGCTATCGATCGTCATGCGCAAGTCGCCGACTTCCTTCTTCGGCACGATCCTTGGGGCTGCGGCCCACGTAACCCGGTTGGTTTGGTATACCATGTCATTTGCTTCCAGGGCAGCCACATGGCTGCGCATTTACTCCACATACAGCGGCGGGAACCGCCGCATCCCACACTTCACCGGCGTCGAGCCGGATTTGATCCGAACCTTCAATGGTTTGACCTTGACTGGCGGATCGTCGTCCAAGTCTTCATGGAATACATCAATGTGTTTGGCCAATAATTCGTGCAGCCGCTGCAAATATTCACAGCCAGATCACGTAACGAAAGACGTCGCCCTTCAACGCCTTGTTCCGCTGCAACTGCAGCTGCTTTTGAACCGCTGTCTTCAGCGACTCCGGCTTGATTGATTTCGTCATAACATTGACGACCATCTTGCCTTCTTGATGGCGTACCCACTCCTGATGGTCTTGTTCCAACGAGCGCATCAGCTCGTCCAACATACGACCGACGCTTTCGGCCACGGGACCTTCGTCAAGGCAGCAAATAAACACACTTACATTAGTGAGGTTAAACACACCAAAAGGTGCCTACTGACTACAATTCACTAAAGTACTCAGTACCTCCACCAAGGTATCGGAACCTGTGACACGCCGCACACACAGAGTGTGTGTGTTTGCAATGGGTCAAACTAACGCGCGACCCAAGTGCTCTGCACGCTGCAGAACAAGCAGTACGACCAACTTCTCTCTTAGACAAAATGATTCATCGATATGGCCCAAGTACGGAGTAAAAAGAGAATGCAACAAACTCATTGTTAAGAAATAGTACTTTGAACTAAACTGCCTCCTAAAAGGACATCGAATCTCGTGATGTTGCTAAAGCTCGTGGCTACGTGAATTTAAATGAACGCAATCGAGTACTAGTACTTACCGAACGGAGAAATGTCGAATTTGTACTTCTCCAACGGATTGACTCGTTAATCCTATATCACGGAGGTTCGATATACATGTAGATATCGTGGTTTGGTGAAAATAGGTCGCCATGAAATTAAATGGAGGTAATCGAAATACTAGTATATCTATGGTCTCGTGAAATATACTGCAAGCTAAGCGAATTATAGTGAGAAAACCTATTAATAGTGCAATCCCAGTCTGACGTAAAGATTGGATTGACTTGGCTCTAGATGAAAGACCATTCATTTTCCAATTTCCATCATGAAGTTCGCACTCCTTCTCACTTTCACCGTGGCCGTCGCTGCCTTGGCTCAAGACCAAGTTGTCCCAGCCAAAGTCGCTTGGGGCGATGAGGCCCCTGGCGACGGTTTCGAAATCGTCGGGGGCCAGGAAGCCCAATTTGGCAGACACCGTTATGTGGATGGGATCAAGAAGTCGCCCGTTGGTCGAACCTTTTGCGGCGGCAGTCTGATCGCCCCCAACGTCGTTTTGACAGCGGCGCATTGTTTGGACGGTGTTGTACCTTCTGTGGTCGTGGGCACGCACTATTTAACCGGTTTTGCCGACGGGGAACTGGCCAATGTCGTGCAGTGTATCAATCCATCATACTAGTAAGTGTTATTTCAATGTGGGTCCCTTCGAAAGTGCGATACAGAAACGGGTTTTTCTGGCAAGAATGTTGGCCACGCTGTTGGATACTATTATAGTACTCCAGAGTACTCTGAGTACGTACCCTGAAGTATTTATATGGATTTCAAATATCATGTGTCATCCAAACGTCATCCAACATAAATATTTGGTCATATCCTAATTAGTAGAGATCACTGTGGAACTTCAAGATTCGCCATTGTAGCGAACATTTCTGGAGAGAGATAGTATAACATTACCAACAAACAGTACGTGTCCTGTAAGATTGGGCTTTTGGCGAAATTAATCGGATGCTGGGTGAAAATATATTGACAAAAACTGAAAATATACGATACGGCCACTGATGGGGCACCAGATGCAAGACCATCCTCTTGCTTTGGGATGCATTCAGCGCGCATTCAACACCGGATGTTCTTTCTTTCGGCAACGAGCTTTACGTGATCTTGGAAACAATCCCACCTACGTTGACTTGGATTTGTCAGCCAGCTGCGGCCAATGAAGACGGCACTCCGTCATCGATGGGTCAAGCATTTACGTACCCAAGTCAAGATTCACAACGATGGCCTATTCAAACTGACTCCACCGGATCGGTTCAACATCGTCGAGTGGGTCAACAAGGCCTGGGATTCCCTATTGAAGAGACACGCGACTCAACCTTGAAAGGCGAATGGCGTTTCACTCGGGAAGCGCTTTCGTCGTGTCTCCATTGCGCTCGTCGGGCGCCTCACTATTGCTTTCCATCCGCCGTTGGTTTGCCTTTACTACATGTATTAATAAAGATAAATGCCATCACCAATTTTGTCCTTGTTAAGTACGGCTAGTACTAAGTACTGTCGAAGTTTTTACGTCTTGTCCCTTTGAAAGTGCGATACAGTAACGGGTTTTTCTGGCAAGAATGTCGGCCACGCTGTTGGATACTATTGTGCTTTTCACAACTTTTGGCTATTCTGGGACTAAAACCCCTCTTTTAAACATGGACCCACGTAGTACTTAAGTATTAGGTTGAGTCCAGGTTCGTTTTAGTAAAACGAAGCACCAAACGTACCACTCTTTTTAGTAATTCCATGCTCTAATAGAGGTAATTTTATGGATCGTATGGGTTTGCTTTTGTTTGATTGGACGCCAAAGGAATTTTTGGCTGGTTTTCCGAGCAAGGTTTGCTTAACAGGGGTGTTTGCCGATGAAATTTCGGCAAACGCGGTGTTTTAGTGCAATGCTAAGCTAGGCGATGCGATGGCGGCGCGTTATCCTTGCCCAGGTGCTCACAA